AAGGGTCCTGGATAACCCACCAGCATTGAAGGAGAACCTGCCCCATACTTGAAGCTCCAGCAGAGCTCCCTCATGGAATCTCTCCCTCATGCTAGCCAAACTCGAATTGCAAAAATTGCCTTTGCCAAACTTTCCCTACCAATGTGTTTCTTAATTCTTTTGTAACTTCTCTATGCCATTAGCATATATGCAAAACACAGATATGAATTTATTGGGCAAAATAAGGAAGTCCACATGTTTTTCTTGAAGTACCAACAGCACATGTATAGGTGCTTTTTAGTCACATGACTATGTTGCCATAAAGCAGCTATACTGTTCCTTCCCCCCCTACATTGAGGCCCAGTGTGTCCCCATTCCTCAGGCTGCAGCTGCATTTTCGAGAGGCACCCACAAAACTTTTCCTCAATTACAATCAATTACTTAGTACCTCAGTTTCCTCAACTGAACTTTAGTGTGAGTCAGGACCGTGTGAATTCATTATTTCATAGGGAAACAGGAAAATCTGTCCTTACAGGTACTGAAAATAAAATAACCTCCTCACTATTTTTTCCTGAGTCAGTAAATCTGAAAGGCAGTTTTGACTGGAACTTTTATTTTCTATTTATTTATTTGTTTAGTTAGTTAGTTTTTGCTTGATATTGGGTACTAAGACAGTTGGTTTACAATTTTGTTCCATAATGTTTCTCTCCCTCCCCCCACATTTCTGCTGGAGTAATCTGTATTTTCCGGCAGCAGTAGTGAAGCTTTGCCCTGAAGCAATCCCATAAACACTTGCAAAAAGCATAATTTTTCACAGTCAGATATTCATGAAGCAAAAACTGGGTAGCTTCATGCAGCAATAGTGAAGTGCTGCAGACAGGCTGTCTAGTGGATTGTGCGCTAGGCTGGGATCCAGGAATGCTTGAATGCTAGTGCTGGCTCTTCCACCAGCTTGCTGTGTGGTCTTGGGCCTGGGCAAGCCGCAGCCTCTGTCTCACAAGTTGCCCATGTATAAAAAGAGGACAATAATATTTGCCTGCTTTGCAGGAGTCAACACTCTTGTGCTAATGTTTTTGCAGGACTCTGAAAAGCTAAAGAGCTGCCAAAGTGTTAAATCTTTCTACCAAGCAAAGCATTTGTCTTTAAATTTAGAATGCAACTTGCTTCAGTGAGAAAAACAAAACAAAACATTTCAGCCACCTGCAAGGTTTTACAGAAACTGTTAGATATCCAGTGATATCCATTTATATAAGTAAAATCAGACACAATTCTTTAGAAGATGAACAAGGCTGTTTTGCACATTCTATGCACTTTAGTTGACTTTCTTATCCCCTTACCCTGTGCTCTGTGCTTTATGTTGTACACCAGCCAACTCCTAGATTCCCAGATCCACTACTGAATTTAGACAAGTGCAATCTATTGAATTCATATTGCCTTTCTGTTTCCACATCTGACATTTATGCAGTCAGTCCTTTTAAGTAGAATTAAACTAGATGACATTACAATGTATGCAAAAGAAAATCAAGATAATCCATGATAAAATTGCCAGACAAGGGCAATAATAATTCTATCCTCTTGAGCTATCAAAGCACAAGGCCTTTCATATGCAGAGGGTGTTTGCTGTCTTGCTGGGAGTCCTGCATTTAATGTGTCACAGACTTCATGTCTAGGTTCACTAGATTCACTTCTAGAGAAATTCTTTGCTCAAATTGTGTTGAATTTCCAGAATTCAACACAATTGAATTGTGTTGAAATTCCAGAGCCCCACACTGTGGGGCTCTGGAAGAAGAGGAAAGCAAATTTACAATTTTTTACAGAAAGCACTCTTTTTTCCTTAGCCCCAAAATACAGCTCCAAGGGCAGATGAAACCATATGTGAACTGAGGTTGAATTTCAAGAGCCATTTTGGTCAACATGACAAATGTTTCAGAAACCATGAGGGAGTTTGCTTAGATGTTTCTGTTTTGTTGTTTTAAAGCACCACTTGTGGTTCAAACACCAGAAGGCAGTAACTAGTGATGAGAAGTCAATGCCCAACAACTTTCAGATAAAAGCAGCATCTGCTTCTGTGAATTCTCTCTCTGCTTCATTTTAGTGAAACCTTTGATGCTCTTCAGACTCTTCTCTGATGCAACTCAACTCAGCAATGCAAAAGAAAAGCCATTTTTTACAGGTTAAGCTTGGCAAGCTTGTGAGATGAACTGCCCTACAAAAGGGTCTAGTGAATGCTTTGTGGGGGCTCAGGCAAGCCTTGGGAGCACACACTGGGAATGTGGGATAACTGGAGGAGTGGAGAATAAGATAAAAAGATTTTTTTTTTTTTTAAGGGATCCATAAGCCTGTATTTTAGCTCAACTAGGTATCTAGAGGCTTAATGGGGCTATGACCAAAAATGAAGGTGTTTTCCAAGCTGCAGGCTGAGCAAGTAAACATTCTTTTCTGATCAACTTAAGGAGTAAGGGTGCAGTTTCATGTTATGTTTTATGTAAACATCAAATATTGCCCCTACCCTAGGCACAGTTTTACCGGTTGTTTTGGTCAGATGTAGAGTCTGTACAGTTTTGATGAGCTTTTGAGTTTGGAAGTATCTTGAACAAATAATTCAATATTTTGTTGAGACCAGCTAGGTGAGCCAGCCCATCTTGTAACTGCACAAATATTAAATCCAGTGTGAGGGAGAGACAGCAACCCATAGCCTGGGGTCAGAAAAAAAAAAAAAAAAGGAAAGCCATGACTTTTTTTTTCCACAGACACCAGTTAGATCTGATTAAGTGTAATCTGAAATTGTACCCTAAGAAACACCTCAGTGCAGAAGAGGAAGTCCTGAATTTCAGAAAATCCCAAAGAGAGGCCTATGGCATACAAAAAAAAAAAAAAAAAAAAAAAAAAAAGATCTCAAGATCTGATCCACTGATCCACAAAAGGTAGAATTAAAAATTATACCTAATCTAAATGTTAATTGAAACAGATTTTGAAACAGTTTGTTTTTGGGACACGTATGTATTTAGATGTCTTGTTTGCTCGTTAGACTATTTCAGCTAAGCAAATATATGCTTTTATCTCTATGGTATTTAAGTTCTGAATGGTCTCACTGTGACTGGGTAGTATAAGGTCTCCCACCTCTTGGAAGGAACCATTCCCTAAACATGAATGCATTTATCAGTGCCTTCCTCCCCAGATCATTCCAACAGTTCTATGTTATCTATGAAAACCAGCTGTATATTAGGCTATATCAAAAGATTCATGTTCAATGCATATCAAAAGGCCAGCAGGTTGAAGGAGATGATTCTCCCTCTCTTCTCTGCTCTCTTGAGGCCACAGCTGCATTCAGCTCTGGGGCTCCCAATTTGAAAAGGACATGGCCCTGGTAGAGTCAGTCCAAAGGAATGTCACAAGGATGATCAGAGGGCTGAAGCACCTCTCCTATGAAGAAAGGCTGAGAGAGTTAGGAATGTACAGCCTGGAGAAGAGAAAGCTCTGAAGAGACCTTCCATTACTTAAAGAGGGTCTGCAGAAAAGATGAAGAGGGAGATGAGGACTCTTTATCAGGGAGTGCAGTGATAGGTCAAGGGAGAGTGGTTCTAAACGAAAAGAGATTAGTTTAGATTAGATTAGATTAGATATAAGGAAGAAATTCTTTACTGTGAGGGTGTTGAGGCACTGGAATAGGATGCCCAGAGAAGCTGTGGGTCCTCCATCCCTGGAACTGTTTAAGGCCAGGTTGGATGGGTTTTGAGCAACCTGGTTTAGTGGGGAGTGTCCTTGCCCATGGCAGATGGCTTGGTACTAGGTGATTTTCAAGGTTCCTTCCAACACAAGCTGATCTACGATTCTATGATAAAAAGATAATACGTGAAAAAAGATGTCTATGACAACATCATGCACTGTGAATGAGAACAAAATAAATGGGTCTGAGTGTATTTTTTTTGCCACTGTTTTTTTTTTTTTTTTGATCTCTAAATTTTTCAATAGTACCTAAAGATCAGTAATACAATTGTCACCAACTGAGAAAACTATAGAAGTAACAGCTACTGTATTCAGGGCCTGTTTCACACATAATACTTTATCTGTGGCAACAAATAATTCAGCTAATCAAGAAAAGAAGTCAGTCTCACCTTGTAAAAATGTGAGATCTTTGTGTTAATACCAATACAAAATACAAATTTCACAATTCAGAAGATTTTGCAGAAATTAACAGTGATTGGTAGAGATGGACACCTGGAGATAATTTCCACCACTCCCTCATCATTCTCCAACAGTTATCATTTGATCTGCCTGTGCTACCTAAGTTTAGGGGTTTCTGTTAAGCAAATTCTAGGTAGTGAGACTACCTAGAATTTTTAAAGAATGTTTAAAAAAGGTGCTCAGAAATGATTTTGTATGTGTGGTCATTCTTGCAGCTTAAACAAGACAGATTTGGTTTGTTCCTTCTGACAGTTATGCAACTAAAATAATATTCACCTGGAAATAAAAGCAAGGAAACAGATTTGGGGTATGGGAAGCTGTAGAATGCCCTATCATTTGAGTTTTATTATTTTGTAACAGAGAAGTTTTCTTAAAAAAAAAGGGGGGGGGGGATTTTTTTTTTTACATTTGAAAATGTATTTTCTCTGAGGAAGTTGGATATTTAAATATTCATTAGATATCTTATCTACATCTCTATGTTCTTTTTCAGCCTTGTCACTGGTCACAAAAGGTCAAAATGTGTGGCTAAAAATTCAGCTACACATTGTCTACATCTGACATGAGTTGCAATAGTGAAGGGTAATTTTTTTGTTTCTGTGTGAATGCTCTAGGGGAAAAGACTCTAGGGGAATATTGGCAAGAAAGAATATCTTTTCCCAGTGTCCTATAAATAGACAGAGATTTAGCTAATTCATCAACAAAATCAGAATATTAAGAGTTCAGTGTTCCTTTTTAGGTTTACCCATATGTGTTATTAAAACCATTAAGATAATTCCATGAAGGCAGAGATGACATGGAAAGCAAGTTCCTGTTTTCTTTTGGGTTTAATTATCTCTGTTATCAAAACAACAAACTTGTTGTTAGAAGGTGAGGCTTTTGACACTGCTGGGGGTCAGCTTAGTCAGAAATGGTATAGCTTTCATCTCTAAGAACAGATGTTGTCAAGATAAAAGAACAATTATAACAAACTTCTCTACATACAAACTAAATATAAATATATAGATAGACAGCATAGAACATTATAACCATGCATACATTATTACAATGATCAGTATTATTATATAATGTATGTATAATATGTATTTATACACAATTAAATATAAATTATAAATAAACATAATGCTATATATGCATCCAATGTTATAAAATATTAACGAACAAAAATTATGTGTTTATACTCCCTTCTTACAGATAATACCCAAGGAAGGTGGCTATAATGTATCTCCCTGGGGTCTGTCAGTACCATGATATAAATAGTTGCTTAACAGAGCTTTGGATCCATAACTGGTGTAATCAGGTTTACTGCACTATGAAGCAGATGGCTATATTTGCAAGAGCAACTCCTCTGCCCATCAACATGGCCAATAAGCAGCCATGCTAGTAGCCTGCTGGGATTTTCAAAACATGTTACGTGTCACATAACCGCAAACCAGAAAGAGTTCTCGGCTCATGGTCACTAGCTTTCACAGAATGGTTTCGGTTAGAAGGGATCTTAAAAATCATCTAGTTCCAACCCCCATGCAATGGGCAGGGCCATCTACCACTGGACCAGGTTGCCCAGAGCCTCATCCTACCTGGCTTTGTACACTTCCAGGAATGGGGCATCAACAACTTCTCTGGGCAAATTGTTCCAGTGTCTCACCACCCTCTGAGTTATGAATTTCCTCCAAACCTCTAATCTAAACCTCCCCTCTTTTAGTTAAGAACCACTTCCCGTTTTCCTGTCATTATTTGCCCAACCAAATAGTTGTTCTCTGTTTTGTTTATAAGCCCCCTTTAAGTATTGCAAAGCTGCAATGAGGTCACCCTTGAGCCTTTTATTTTTCAGGCTGAACAACTCCACCTCTCTCACCCTTTCTTCAAATGAGAGGTGCTCCAGACCTCTGATAATCTTTGTGGCCCTCCTCTGGATCTGTTCTAACAGATCAACATTATTCTTGTGCTGGAGAACCCAGACCTGGATGCAGTATTCCAGCTGGGTCCAAGGCCATAATAAAGGGGCACAATCATCTTCCTCAACTTGCTGGTCACTCCTCCATTGATGCAGCCCAGGATGCAGTTGGCCTTCTGAGCTGCAAGTGTGCACTGCTTGCTCATGAAAAACTTTTGATCCACCAGAACTCCCAAGTCCTTCTCTCAGGGATGTTCTCAATGAGTTCTCCCAGTCTGTCCTCATGTCTAGTATTTCCCTGACCTAGGTGTAGCACCTTACATTTGGACTTGTTGAACCTCATTAGGTTCATGTGGACCCAATTCTCAAGCTTGTCCAGGTCCCTTTGGACCTTCCTTCTGATTTATCAACTGAACCGCTCAGCTTGGTGTCATCTGCAAACTTTCTGAGAGTTCAGTCCATCCTATTGTCTATGCCATAATTTTGCATTTTAAAAATTCCACACCAAAAGTTCTTACCATTGTCCTCAGAAAAACAACAAGAAACCAAAATGAACAATCAAACAAAACCAAACAAATACCCCAAAACATTCTAAAAGATCACCAAGATCAGGAGACAGTTTCATATATTTGGCCTATATTAGATATTTCTGCATTTTTTAAATATGTATTTTCCCTCTTTATTCTCTAAATAGTGATTTCCTTCATTGGTATTTATAGCAATCAGAGATTTTTAGGTCATTCTTGAATTAGGTAGACAGGAAATTGAGGTGGATTTACAGTGTGCTCAACTCTATATTAACCATCCAAGTCCATAATAATAGGAACCAACTTCTGTTAACTCCACTTCTGCCCTTTTTATGTTCCAGCTGCACTTGGAAAACTTTAGTAGCACATAGCCATATGTAAAACCCACTATATATAACTATATAATTGTTATTAATCTTAGCAGATAATCTTGCAAGAAATAAAACTCTCAGGTTTTGTGCTATCAAAATATACATGCAATGTACTATGGATGTATAATAACCTATGTGGAGGACCTGTATTTAGTATACAGCACCATATCCTGCACTAAACCACAATTTGCAGTAATTGAACTTGAGGCTTAGCAAGACAGCTGTACACATGTGGAAGATTTATAAAGGCTTTAGAATGGTAAAATAATCATTTAAAAGCTGTAATATGAGATGGACTTGGCTAGACTGGAACCTTTTTATTTTGCTGGTACTTTATTCTCAAGTTAAAAAAGAGTACTTTGATTTTTTTGTTGTTGTTGTTTTCTTTTTGTTTTTCCTGTTCTTTCCTGTGTAACTGAAATGAGATCTATTACAGGAGAAGACAGAGAAAGATGCTGAATCTTTTCACACACATTTTAATGGTCATTGGGCTGGAAAAAACAACAACAACAACAACAAAACAAACAAGAAAACAACACCAAAAAGCACCAACTCACAATAAAAACAAAACAAAACAAAACAAAAACACCAACTCACGATAGCCATATGATACACCTGTTTTCAGTTTGTATGACTTGTATGACTCCTTTCCTTCTGTTACCCTTTTTTTTTTTTTTTTCTTCTTCCCTTACTTTCTGGCAGAATAACATTTGCACTCACTGGTTCCTTGTACTTGAAGTATCTTTAGAGCAGGGTAATCTCTTGGTTTCTGTTATTTTCAACCTTCTGGTATTACATGGACAGTCTGTCACTGAAACTTGCTTTCATCTTTGAAAACCACTAAAATAAACTGCCCCTCTGCTGCAGAGACAGACTGTTTATTTGATACTGCCTGCCTTTATTATTTTATAAACTTTGATTTGCCCATCTTCAGTTCTTTGGAACTGTCTGTGGGAAGTGTAAGGGTCACATTCAGCAATATTGCAACAACACAATAACATTAGAAACAGGTAACACCAACAAATTTTATAGTGACCTACAGGAAAGAGCATTCACCTCTGAGAAGAACAGTGGAAGAATAAGGACCTCCGATGAAATAACTTTAAAACAGTCCATTTGAATCATTCATGTAAATCTCAGGAGTGGTAAGAACGTTTGTTCTGTCAAACTAAGAAATTCTGATTATTTCTGAAGTAGGGATATTCTTTTGGAAGGTATGTTAGCAAAACCTCACTGAAAGTGTGTAATAGCAGTAAGAAATAAGTGTTCATTTGTTTGTTTTATAATTTCCAAGTCATACTATGATCCCATATTTCTTAGTAATTTTCTTAGTAATTTTCTAACTAAATCTTACAATATGAATGTCTATGAAAAGTACATTTCAGGACTATAGTAGTAATTTATTTGATGAAGAAAATACATTTGATGAAACTTAAATTGAGATCTACATTATATTTGTTTCAAAAGGAAATGGATTTCCCTTATGCAATTATGCAAATAAAGAAAAAATCAAGGTAGATCAACAATGTCATGACTTCAGAGACCAATAGCAGAAGAATTACCTGAAAACTCCTGTGAATAGAATAGTGATAAATCTTGGGTTGAGGTCTGTTTAAACAGATGGTTTGCAAGATAGTTTCTAATAACATTCAAAAAAAGCCTAATCAAATAAATTATTACACTGAAACAAAAGTAGGCTCACTGGAAAATATATCCACTAAAATTACTCAAGAAGTTTTGTCATTAAGTAATGATACAATCTGTTGGAAGAAGACAAAATGATAAAATGATCCTAAACTTTTTTCCTCTTTTTTTTTTTCTTTCTTTTTTTTTTTTTTTTTTTTCTCCCATTTGAAATGCAAGGAAACTGTCAGGACCAATATATATTAGTTTGCTCTTCTAGTGAGATATGGGAGTCTGTGGCTTACGTTCTATTCAGTATAACTGAGCTATTATTTTTTTCTAATTGTGATTCATTACGAATGAAGAAATGAGCAGAATACCAACTGAGACTTTCTGACTTATAGACAGTAATTACAAGTTCTGAACCAGTTTGACACAGGGTGACACGTAGAACCAGGAGCAGGATGCACAATGACAGGGACTCCCCTCATTTGTCTTGGGTTTTGCTCAAAAAATACCAAAACCTTTCTGCATTTTTAGGTATAGCTTAGTATTTTTTAGTATTATCATCAGCCCAACAGATAAGAAACTCAGATTTTGGCCACATCTTTTCACAGAAATACATGGGGGAAATGGACTGAGAGAGCGCAAGCATTTCCACCATCTTGTAAGTGACCTTGACTTCCACTGATTTCTTCTACATCTTGATGTCTTTTAGTACTTACTAAATTTTCATGGGAACCAGTGTTTTCTGTGTCTGTCATCTGGAGCTTTGCTATTTCCTTCAGAAACTGAAGAATTTTGTATGTACCAGGATAAGTATTTCCCAGAGAAGTCAGTGAGTATTTTGGGTCAATGACTCAGTCAGGTGGCAGAATGGCACTTGCAGGTCCTGAAAATCCACAAGACGCACGTCTTAGAGACTTGACATAGTCTTGTACGTTCTTTCTGTGTTCTCTCTTTGCAAACCCCTGGACAAAAAGCACAAGTTTTAATTTAACAAACAATTTCATTATATCTTTTAAATGTACTATTGTTGTTGTTAGCTCTTAAAATATGTATTTTTTTAAATTTATTTTTATATCATTTTGCTCTCATTTCCACATGGCTGCTGCACAATGAAATCTATATTTCTTTATATAGGTTAGTCTTCTTTATTGCAAATACAGTAGATGACTTATTTTTTTACCCCTGAGTTTGCCATAAAGAAATGTTTTTAGAATTCCATGATTTTACTTGTTTGTTAATGAAATACTGCTTAAGTGTACTTAAATTAGTTTAAATGCACACATTTGTTTATGGCAAAGCTTCAGAGCTCTATTACATCCCTGGTGTATGATAGTTAAAAATTCTTCTTTATTTTTCTTCTCTCTCTCTCTTTCTCTTTCTCTTTTTCTTTCCCCTTCTCTTTTTCTTTTGTTCTCCCTTCCCTTCCCTTCCTTCCCTTCCCATTCACTTCCCTTCCCTTCCCTTCCCTGCCCTTCCCCTTCCCTTCCCTTCCTTCCCTTCCCACTTTCCCTTCCCTTCCCTTCCTTCCCTTTCCCTTCCTTCCCTTACCTTCCCTTTCCCTTTCCCTCCCCCCTTCCCTTCCCTTCCCTTCCCTTCCTTCCCTTCCCTTCCCTCCCTTCCCTTTCCCTTCCCTTCCCTTCCCTTCCCTCCCTCCCGCTTCCCTTCCCTTTCCCTTCCCTTCCCTTCCCTCTTCCCTTCCCTTCCTTCCCCTTCCCTTCCCTTCCCTTCCTCCCCTTCCATTCCCCTTCCCTTCCCTCCTTCCCCTTCCCTTCCCCTTTTCCCCTTCCCCTTCCCCTTCACCTGTCCCCTTCCCCTTCCCCTTCCCCTTCCCTTCCCCTTCCCCTTCCCCTTCCCTTCCCCTTCCCTTCCTTCCCTTCCCCTTTCCCCTCCCCTTCCCCTTCCCCTTCCCCTTCCCCTTCCCCTTCCCTTCCCCTTCCCCTTCCCCTTCCCCTTCCCCTTCCCCTTTTAAATGTATTTTATAATATACAGTTATAAATATATTTCTTAATTAAAAGACTTGATTCAAAATAAAGAAATTATATATTCAGGGCAAATTCAGAGGGAAAGCAAACAAACAAACAAACAGGAAATTTTCATTAAGATGATCTCTCTTGTTCTTTAGTTAGAGAATTATAATATATGTAGTCCATTTTGGATAACAGTTTAAAATTAAACTGGATAAAATTCAGCAGAATAACACAGAAGAAATTGTTATGTCTGATCACTGCATCAGCAGAGATCACTCATAATATTGGACTTTTTATCTCTAATTTCTAGTTTTGCTAGAAAATTTATTCTGCCATATGTTTGATATAATAGTATAGAGCTCCTTTATTCATGGATGTGAAAAGGAATGGCAAAGAAAATAATAATAATAATAAATGTTCTTGTGAAAGTCCTGAAGCAATTGAAGAAGATCAGTGCAATATATTCCCACCACATGTTCACTATCTTTATACAGATAACAAGTTGCAGAGCTGTTTTATTTCTCACTGCTGATGCATTATTTTCTTTTCTCCCATGCTGTGTCACAGCATGCTGTCTTGCTTTGCAACATTTGAAGCCATGAGACAAATCTCTAAAACACAAGAAAAATGTATGTAGATGTTGTTTAAGAAGCAACGTACCTCCACTGGTGACCAGGTATTTTGCAGGTGGATTGTCATTCTGAAAACATAACATTTACATAATTACTGGTTCTAGGATTATACTTGTAAACATTTCAGCTTCTGCCTGCAGAATTTTAAGTATAAGAATAGCTGTCTCAAAAAATTCTGTGATTATTACTGTTAGTTAATTTACCTAAAACCAGCAAGATAAAACAACAGCAACCACAAATTAATTCCTATCTCAGAGTTTGCAAACCTATACTGTATGTACTGCAAGGTGATGATGATATACAAAGGTTTGACTGTTGCAGTCATCATACAGTCCTAATTTAGAGCATAAGTAGTATTATATCTCAGACTGAAGGACTGACTTTAATGAAAGTATAACAACTATATTTGCCACTAACAGTATTTTTACATCAATTCTTAGAATATGGCAAGATTTGCATTCCTTTGGGTATCTGAGTAGTTGATAACTGTAACCGTGTTTTTGTTATTTTTAATATTTTCTCCTCCTTCTCTCAGCTCCCCAAGTAATAACAATATATATTTATGCACAAAACCCTTTCAGCATACAACAGCAATTTTTTATTTCTAAAAACAAATTCTATACTATCAACTGTATCCTACTTCCCCAGAGAAGGGTTTAGAAGTCTTTGAAAGAAAGCACGCGTCCTAGGAAAGGTTCATTCATGACTGCCAAGAGGAAAATATCCCTGCTTTCTCATATCCTGTACTCTTACCAAGTATCCAGCTGCCAAGCAACAGCATGTAGGAGACATAATGAAATGTGGATGATTTGGAAAGAAAAAAAGTCTTGTAATTAGCATAGATGACCATATTTAGAAATTGGGAAGCACAAGAATGTTGTAGGTTCTGGGATCAGAATATTTTTCTCTGCCTGCTCTAGTATTTAAATAGCATCCAGTCAAAGTCCATTTTTCCCTCTCATAGTCCGGAAACAGGACAGGCTAGTAAGAAAAGGATCATATGGAAGACTCCCTGTTGATTTCAATTTGTTTCTTTTCTCAAATCTTCTTTAAGTAATTCCAACTGAATGAGCAAGTCCTGCCACAATTAACCTATCTACATATCTATGTGACATTTAACTCCCCAAAGAAGGAAGAATGAAGCATTTTGTTTTGGTTTACTTTGTTTTTAAATCAGTCAGGTATCTATTAGCAAACACTCTGCATCCAAAAACAGAACAACATTCTGCCACGCTGAATTGCTATTGTACCTGAGGCACCTTACTGAGTTTCAAAACTCTGGTTTTCTCAGTGCTTTTTAAAATCACATGAACTTCACCAAAGATGTGCATCTTATACCACTCCCTGAAGAAAACATGAGTTCTTTGGTGATAAAACCTGTGAGGTCTGTTCATGCACTTACTCAGTTGCTTGGTACCAACCTTGTTATTGTTGATATTGACTGCAGGGAAGTTCTCAGCCAGCGCAGTCCTATCCCCTCTCAGAAAGGCTGCTGTAGGCATTGCTACCCAGGCAGAACCTACTCTGGGATCTCTGGAGAGTGAAAATGTTGCATAAATCTAAGAGAGAATAATTTATAACAATTCACACTCTAAAAAGCATTAAAAAGGAGTGTAGACAAAGTCTGGGTAAAGACTAAATAGGAAAGAATCAAACAAATATATATTTTTGTAATGATTTTTTAAATGTTTACCTCTTTCAGAGGTAAAATAGCTCTTAAATTTTTAGCACCCTAGTCTATATCCATAGCTATATGTAAATAGCTAAAGTTTTTAAAATGAAATAAAATGTAGAGCTCCTTGTTGGTTATACTAAATACTGGTTAGGATAGGGCTTCAATAGGTTACAATAGGATTTTGTGGGTAAAAATATTAATATTACATTTTTTTTTTTAATAATTACATTCATCTCTAAGATGTACTGCTGCTTTGTTCATTGCTAGTATGAAATTGATAAAACTGATTCAAACTGATAAAGGAACAGGAGGATCAGAGATAATTAAAAGGAAATAAAGGATTCCTGAGCTTCTGATCTTTATATTATATTAAATAATAATAAGTTCAGCCAGGATAATTGAAAGTGTCACTAACCTCACATGTTTTTGGATGTATCAATTAAAAGTAAAATAAAGTGCCTTGTGGAAAATAAAAGCAAATCAGATATCAAAGAAAGAAAGAAAAGTTCAATGAAAGACTAAATGTAAGTTGCTTGGCAGAAGACGGGAAAAAAGATCTGTCCTTACTCCCACTAAATGAAAAGGGAAATTCTTTTGTATAAACCATCTTCTTGGGAGATCATTATAACCTGGTGAGCTCAAATTTCAAGGATTTATAGTGAATTCTCATCCTGGTTTAGTGAGAGAGACTGTTCTTATCCTCTGCTGAAGAGCTTATTTATGCAATGATAAAACCACATGAGTTCTATCTCCATCAGCAGGGGTCAAGACACAGGTAAGTAAGTGGACTGATATCTATTGGGTATGCTTAATGAAGGACAGGAACAAATTTAAGTAGAGTATTGTCAAATTGCAAGAAGTCTCTTTCCTTCCTTATTTGCATATATTAGTACTTTGTTTCCTCCTTTTCTCTATAGAGATTTTCTTATCTATGCCAAGCATCAGGGTGCTTTGAATGACTAGTTCAGACTGGAAATGACGAAAAGAGGTCATCTCATTCAGATCTCTAGTCAAAGCAGGGCTAACTTCAAAATTAGGAAAGAGTTCTCTGGGTCCTACCCAGTCAAGTTTTGAATATCTCCAAGGTTGGATATTCCACTGCTTCCCCAGGCAACTAGTGCTCGGCCACATCCATGGTGAATTTATAGCTGATCTGAATTTCCCCTCCTTCAGCTTGTGACCTCTGCAGCTTGTCCTTTCACTGTGTTCTAATTTGAAAAATCCAGCTCTTCTCCATAAAATCCTTCTGGTGAAGACTGAAATCAGATCAGCTTTCTTTTTTTTTTCTTTTTTTTTTTTTTTTTTTCCAGGCTGAACAAACCCAGCTTCCTCATCCCTTTTTCATATAACAAGTACTTCAACCCCCTCATCATTTTGGTGCCCCTGTGACTGGTTATTGACACTTGGTTGATCTTTCTTGCATGGAGAGGTGAACCTCAACACAATATTTCAGTTGCAGCACCACAAGAGCCGGGTAGAGAGAAATAACCAGTTCCTTCAACCTGCTGGCTATGAATTTGCTATCGCAGCCCAATATGCAGGAGGCCTTCAGCACTCTCATGCCACACTCATTTTCTGTAGATTCTGTCACCCTTGCAGTTATCACAGCAGACTTCCTGGATCTGTTACTTTGAACAAGTCTTTCTGTAAAAGTAAATGGGCTAAAGAAGTAAGGGTAACAGTATTCACATGCTTCCTACTAAAAACAGGGGAAAAAGGAGACAACATTTTATTTTCTTGTTGTTTGAACAACCATTAAAATTAGTAAGCATAACATTTAGCTCTTAATTTATAGAAATAAAAGATAAGCTTACATTCCTTTATGGAATCAGGTGACAGAAACAAGAAGAGTCTCCATCCAGAGCACAGACATCTACCAAGATGTGAAATAATTTGTAATTCTGAGCTGTGCTGGTAGACAATAAGTACTTGGAAGAGAAGGAGGGGGAGTGAGAGAGCAATTGTGGTGAAGTTCAGTTGCCTAGCAAGGTAAAACCAACACAGCTATATACATGAGTGAAGTCAAAAGAGAAATAGCAGAAAAAAAAAAGGAAAGAACCAGTGGTTATATATCCCAGAGTAAGACCTGTATGGAGAGGTTTGGGACTCTGTCTTGAGAGAAATTAAAATATAAATAGTGAGAGTAAAACATTTAGAAGATACTAAAAGGATACTGCTAGCATGGCTTTTTCCAGTTGTTAGCCCTTTGTGCTAAATACCCCCCTATTTGTATGTTATTGCTATTAATACAATATAACTTTTACAGAAATAAAAAATAGTTCTTTTTGTAGTGTAAAACTTCTCAAGTGTCTAATTTGGTTCAATGGCAAATAGTTTTACAGCCTTACAGATGGCAATCTTCAGCGAGCTTGTACACACCAAAAAAGTACAGATTTAAGTGGCCATGTATTGTATAAAAACACCACTCTAAGTAACTTGATTTTAATCTAATTGAGTTTGATTATTTTAATACCCTTCAAATGGCAGCCTGAAATTGATCTATGTGGTTAATACAGATTGGTTAAAATTTATAAAATGTATACATAGACAATGAGAACACTGAACAAAAGCCCAAATGCCCCTTCTCTATATTCCCTCTCCCTTCCATAATACACTGTACTGCAGGAATGAAGGAAGTATGAGATTGTTAAAAGTTTTCACAGAATTAGAATATTTCAGTTATAATTTCTTCCCTTCCTAGCATGCCCTCTCCATTCCCAGAAGGGCCCTGTTTATGTCACATACATAAACATGTCTGTAAGTAAAATACCTTTGTTCTGAGAATGCACCAAGTAAAGAATAAAACTTTCTTTAACAATACTATGAATACACAGTGTTATGACTTCAAATTATGGACTCAAGCTGAAGTTATATTGCAGGGCAATTTTAAAAATAAGTTTAAAAACAATCACAGCCTATTTTGTACAATTTCATCAACTATTTCTTTCTTCTTTTTTTTTTTTTTTTCTTCTAGGAGTGGTTTCAGAAAAGGGTGTCTCTCCAGATCTGACAGAGTTCAGCTTTACTGAATGTATCACATACACCCAATTTCATTTTGTGAACACAACAGAAATGATGTAAGAGATGCCTGAGTAATTCCTTATGCATCATATGTATGATATATGTATGCCCACTATCCTCTTTCTTCTACATTGCAAATTAAAGGATGGGCAGCAGTGGAAAACACTGTACCAACACACACACATGCACATGTGTGCAGAGGACACGCTGCACTCCATGGGCACTAAGGCTGTGCCTGTGCTAAGCAACACTGCATTCTTTATCTGTGTGAGGAGGCATCTCCCACCCAGGCAGTATAGAAGCCCAGGGTTTGCTTTCATAGCCACGTGAAAAGGGGTCCCACCTTTTTGGTAAATGCAGAGGGAGAGAGAACACCTATTCACTGATATTCTGAAAGGCAGACAGGCTTTAGTCCCTGCCTTGTGCCTGTTCTCTCATCACATAAAAAAGCCATGCTGGTGCAAGCCCTGGACAAGTAGTTCAGGGCTGCATATGCACTGCTAACTGCTCTTGTCCCTCACCTCCTTCATGGAAAATTTCTGTGTTGGGAACATGTCCCCATCCATTCTGCACGTCTCATGCATAAGGGAAAACATGCAGAATTCCTTTATTGCACTGTATGGGAAGAAGCAGGATCAGCTCCAACAATAAGATACAGTTTCAACAGAAAGAGTTTGTTCATGCCCTGTTTTGTGGGTGCTCTGAAAGGGGACAGGCAAGGTAGTGCCCAGGGTAGATATTTAAATTGATCCCCAGAAGACAGAAGTCAGCTGTATTTTATACAGCTTTTCAAGCTAGAGTGACTACCCTTTGTGTACAGTCACCTGGGTGGGCATACGGTTGTAGCAGAAATTTAAGGTGTCTCGTTTCAGATAAACAGGAATAAAGATTTATCCAGCTTTACACAGTGCCTCTGCCTAGGTCATGTATTTTTGGTCTGATACTCCGGTTGTTGAGGCAGAGGTATCAAACACACCTGGTGTGATACTCACCACACAAATCCCACTGACTGCACAGGCTGGTATGCTCCAACCACAGTAGCTGATGATCTTGACATCCTTTCCTTTTCTGTACCGCCCCTCTGGCACATGCACACATTCTTGCTGCAGACACAGGACCACCCAGCCAGGACTGGTACACTGATTCCAGTGTATCAGCATTTGAGATGCTGAGGTTCACAGCAGAAGTATTTCCAGACAGACAGCTTAGTACAGAGTCTGAGACACTGCCTTCAAGAGTAAGCAGAGGAAATATTAAGGTATCAGCTGGCTCATATACAACATGCTCTTTAAATTGATCTTTGTGGTATAAGCAATATTCTGTGTTTTTAATCCCAAATAGAAAAAGATTACAATGAACTAGATGTTAATATCCTAGTGACAAATGTTAATGCATTATGTTATACTGGATGGTGGTATTTTATTTTATACACCCATAAAACATGAAACTGCCACCATCCCACTGTATGTTCTGGATGTGTTCCTTCAGATTTTGAGTTCTCCTTTTTTTCTGCTCAGTATGAAATTGTTAATGAAAATGATGGAAGAGAAAACACCTGAAAAGTATTAGACAAACTGTTTATCACATTTGGGCTATAGATCGAAGCCCAAATGGAAAATATATTACGGTCCCTTTCCCATGCATAATCTTGCAAAGTATAAATTTAATAATGGAATCTGCAGGGTGCTTCTTCCTTTTCAGCTGGCATGTGTAGGGTAGGCTGGAAACAAAATAATTTACAGAGAACTACGGTTACATGCAGACATTTCTTACCACAGGTTCCTGAGTAAGTTTTGTCCACAGAAGAGTTAAAATAGGATTGGGAAAGAAGGTTTTGGAAGTGGCCCTGAGCCACATAAAAAAGACAATTATTTCTTCCTCTTCACTCACACTTTTATGTTTCCAAAGCATTACTCAATGTTCATCAGAGCTGCAGTCAACAGTTTGCCAGAAATTCAGAATTCAAAGTCAAGCTTAATTTGAAAAGGCTACTGGCTAATCACTTTTTGGCTTCAGCTGACAAATGAAGTATGAAAACTGCCAGCAGCTGTGTATTTTGTTCAATTGTTTGATCTGAAAACTAGACAGAACAGAGTAGGGGGTACAGAGGAAAGAGTGAGCATAACAAAGTGGAAAAGGGGAACATGTTGTCCTCACAACAAACAATTGTGCGCTAAAGTGACTAATTAATCATTCTGATGGATATCTCCATTGACCCAAATTAAGCCTTTGCTAGTTTCATATACATATTAGAAATTAGTTGTCACATGGAGTTTGTTAGCATACTGCTACTCCAGTTCTTGAAGGCAGTATGAACAATGCAGCCTTGATCAGTCTCAGGGCTGTGAATTACTAGTATGACTCCATTCTCTCAATGGACCATGTCTAACAAGTCAAAAATATACCTGTTTCCTCTTGTTTGTACTTTACCCTTTGCCTCTTGACCTTAAACAGCCAGGACATTCCACTAAAAAGGACATGGAGCAGCAGGAAGGGTGGTATAATACAGTCGTAGAAAGGGGTACTATTGTTACACTGGCTGGTAAATTTTCACCAAGCATCAAAATATACAGAATAAATAAGTTAGACTGCAAAAAATAAAAATAAAAATGTGTGCCACTGCCCAGGGTCAAATGACAAGATCAGTCAAAATGCAAACAAATTTTATGGAAAGAGGTTTCAATGTAAGGTCATAAGCCTCCACAGCATCTGGACAAGTTCCATGCACTAAGAGTAGATGTGACTGGAAAGTGAAGAGAAGGTCAGAAAAGCAAAGAGAAGTTAATTTTATAAGAGTCAAGAGAGAAAGCAGAAGTCAGCAAATTATTTCTTTAGAAAAGTCTTAAAATTATTTTATCTGTCCCTTGTTCAGGAAAAAATGTTGTTTTAAACATTTTTTTTTTCCCAGTAAACAAAGATTGTGCGAAAGTACCTACCTACAAAATCAGTGCCCCCCCCAAATAACAACAACAATGCATATACACACACACACACAAAATAAATTAAGACATTACATAAAGTGACAAATCCCACTCTATCCAAAAACTCCTCAGGAGTCCCAACACAAACAGACACGCAGAAGAGAAGTTTCTTTCCTTCCTCAGCACACCAAGGGTTGTGCCACTGCTTTGTAACACGGTGCCCATATATAGCATATGTTGGTGCCACATCCTTATTCCACAATGCACGATGGAGATAGGCTCGTGTCAGTAATGGCAGGGCAGGGATACACCCTGGCAAACCTACAATCTTGTTCCTTTTTGTAATTCATTTTCTCTTCAACTTGAGAGAATCTGTGGCACTGTGCAGCACTGGGGAGCATGTGATTGGCAGCTCCACAGGAGAAGTATACTGATGGCAAGTGAGGCAGCAATGGAAGAGCAAACCCTTTTAGCCTGACCTTTTTCCCTCCCCAGTACAATCTGTGCCAGAAGAACTTGTTGGAATACTTACTTGGCATGTGGGGATCTGTCTTTACATTTAATAAGAAATTTAACAGTCAGATTCCCAAGCCAATGCCCCTGCCAGCGTTGTGAGAGCTGGCATTCTGAACTCATTTGCTTTCTGTTGATGCGGTCCTACTCCACATTTGCCATCTGTTTAAAACACACATGAGAGATAACAAACTTTGTTTTAAATCCGTGCTCTGAATCAGACCTCTGTTTCAGATGTATCTGAATGTTGATCTCCTACCTCCTAGCTGATTATCCTAAAAACTGAGTGTTGCAGTAAAGAAACACCAGCAATTCTGAGAATCTAATTCCTGCATTTTCATCATAGCAACCCCAAAAAAGACATTGCTGCATTGTCGAAGCAATTATATTTCAAAATCTGACTGTTGCTTTAAAAGTAGTCATTTTCATATTAAAACTGAAACAATTACCAAATTTTCTCCAAATTCAGAATTATTTTCGGTCATTCAAAATCTTTGTTTTTCCCTGATAGACAATTTTTCAAAGATTCCACTCAAATATATTAATATGAGAACTAATACCAGCCAATTTCTTGAGTGAAAATGATAACACTGTAATTTGACAAATCTAACCAGGAACTAGCTTAAACTACAATTTACACAGCAGATTCTAGCTGAGGAAGAAGACCAGCTTTTGGAGTAGTTCTTAGTAATGTGGACTCCAGCACAAGTAAACCAAATCTAGCTGCAAAACATTGTAAATAAGGTCTCAGGAAGCTGCAGAGAAGAGTTGTAAGAAACTAAAATGTGGTTTAATTTTTGTTATAAAACACTCATATTCCAGCTCACAAACATTTCTGTGTTAGCATGGACTTCTTTGTCTTCTGAACTGCAGGCAGTAATTACAGGATGAAGATTTCACAAATGAAGAGTTTCTCAGGGAAACTCAGGTTTCTTTCCTGACAAAGCCATCAGCTAGCATTTCCTCTCAGTACAAGAGGATAATTTTAAAAATGTTTCAATGGAATTGAAAATTATTCAGACTGTAGCTATTTGTACAACCAAACCAAGCCAGCAGCATAAGGTTCAAAAGGAAAGGCTAAACAGAAATCTATAATTCCTTGAGTGCATCTGTATCACAAAATTCAAGCATTTACGTGAAGTCACTCAAGTTAAATTGCTTCTGAATAACAGGACATTACCTGTTGAGTATTATTGCATTGATCATTGTTTAAAATCTTGATTTAAGAAAGATTTAAATTAACCTAGAAGAAACAGAAGTTAAAACTGTGTCTTTCTCTCCACTGAAATTCAGTGTAAACTCAATGGTAAAATTGCATAAACAGACAGTAGTGATTACACCTGATATTTGGTGAATTTTCTTGTGTAGACAAAAAATATGAGGATTCTGTGTCTGTAAGTAATACAATTAGAGATGAGTTAGGTGTTGATCAGCTTCAGTTTCCAGGGTCTGTAAAAGTGAAGTGGACATGACAGAAAGACAAGTGTGTCTCCAAATGCAGGAACAAGTCCAGATGTTCAGATGCACAATAATGAGATATGGACTGTCTGAATATATTAATCAAATGCGAAGCTCAAAATACTTTTGTCTGAGGCTGGAATTGTATGAACATAATTTTCATATTTTTTAAACAAGATAAACAAGTAATCCTCAGGTCTTAGTGTTCAGTCATATACATATATATGTATGTTTTATACTAAATTTAAATGATTCACTACTATGATAGCTTCATAACAACTATATACATATGAATATATATGTAGAAAAGAATGTAAAACAAACATATTTTATCACTCCTTTTTCAACCATAAAAAACATTTCATATTGTTATACTGTACTGAAAATGTATTTAAAGTGATTAAAACATGTATAAATCTGGTGTCTACAAGTATAAATGCAAATGGAGTCAACAGCTATGACATAATATGAAGTAGTCTCTAAACAGGGACAAAAACCTATAGAAACTTCCTGATAAAAATGAAATCTGTGTTTTCAAACATTTTACTCAACAATTTCTATACTGCTTAAGAGTGAGATTTTCAGAAGTGCTCTAGAATGAAGCTCTTTAAAAGCATTTTAGCCCTTCAATGACCGTAGTTAAAATTACTGTGGACAAATATATTAGTGCTGCTAAATTCTGGATCTCCGGTTTAAGCTCACAGGAAGTGAATATTGTAATGTACAGAGAATATCTCTGTTTGAACTTTGTTCAGTGTAGGAGCATTTTTGCTGGACTGTTTCTTAAGCTGGTTTAAGCATCTCTGATATCCTCTCTAATCACAGCCTAACACTACTTTAGTAAAAGAAAAATATTTTATCTGTAAGGTAAACTAGATCAATGAGATAATCCAGCCAAGAAAGGGAAAGAGAGGAAGTAATGGAAGGAAATGGAGGAAAGGAATTAAAGTGAGGAAAAAAAAGGGAGAAAGGAAGGAAAAAAAAAAAAAAAAAAAAAAAAAAGAGAGAGAGAGAGAGAAGAGCAATATATTAAAAAAAAAAAAAAAAAAAAAAAAAAAAAAAGCAAAGAGAAAAAGGAAAATGAAAGAATGAAAAGGAAGAAGAAAAAGAAAAAAGAGAGAAAAGATTAATTCTCAGTTGTCTCAGTTCCCAAATTCAGTTCAGTACATGACCACCCAAGCAGCTAAGCCACCACACCTGAAGGGGCAATGTGAGGGCAGAAACAAATGACTGGAATGTGAAAAGACAGGAGGAGTGTACTGACCCCACACTGCTGACATAAGAAATGCAGATCAGATCCATTTTCAGGCTTTGAGCAATTTCTGACAAGAAGCAAC